CCCCAAAACCCCAAAACCCCAAAACCCCAAAACCCCTATTTATTTAAGTTTTATTGAGGTTCAAAACTTATGCAAGACATGTGCATTAATTTAGAGAATTCCAAGAATCTTTCCTCCTCTGCCTTGTCCTCTTGCCTTTGAGAATTGCTCAAACATTCCGTAAATAATGGTGACTGCGAGAAGGATTCCTGTTCCGCTTCCAATGGCTCCAAGCATATCTGCGAAAACACTTAGAGCTCCGATGCAGAGACCTCCGAAGGAGGCAGCAATTGGGATGTAGTGGTCGAGATATCTCTTGATGTTTCTGCCTGAAGGATCCATCTTATATCCCTTAATGGTCAATCCTTCATCCTTGAGTTGCTTGGCAACGTCCCAAGAGCCACTTCCAGATACTTCAATCCAGGTCTTACTGAAGATAGCGCATGTGACCATCACAAAGGCGATGTAGACTATGGTCTTGATGGGGCTGAATAGGAAGTCCAAGATGCTTTGTGGTGGAGTGAGAATGTACACAAGTCCATAAACCGGGACTGATCTTCCTGACATATCAACATCCTGCCATGTTCCCAATAATCTGACCAAGAAATTGCCCTTAAAGTTTGTATACAATAGCTGAGAGAAGAAGAACAAGTTTGAAATCAAAGCTGACTGAAGAATAATTGGCATATTGGAAGTGTAGAACAACTTGATTGGATATGGGAAGTCATAACCTCTCTGTCTAGCACTAGATACAGTTAGCTTCACTTGGAATCCCTGGAAATATACAACAATGAGGATAACAGCAGCAGTGGCAATAAGGTTCAAGAGATTTGGGGCATTTTGACGGAAGAAAGATTTGTAAATACCGTCGAATTTATCACTCTTGGCAATCAAGAAGTGGAAGAAAGCAATAATGGCTCCTTCAAATTCGGTGTCGCTTCCTGCATTGACAGTGATTGGTGAAAAAGCTCTCCAGAGAATGGATTCTGCGATATTACAAGCTATAAATACTGAGGTTCCTGAGGTGAGTCCATATCCTTTTTGCAATAACTCATCCAGGAGCATTACTACAAGTCCTGCTACAGTGAGTTGAACAACAATCAAAAGTGCATTAATGTATCCTAATTGACCCATAGTTCCATATACTCCACTCAAAACATAAGCAGTGGCTTCTCCAAAGGTGAAAAGGATTCCGAATACTTTAGTAGCAGTCTGGAAGAGTTCCTTATCTTCATCAACCTTTTGGTCAACATGAATAATTTTAGCTCCTGCTAGCAACTGCAAAATCATTCCAGAGGTGATCATTGGTTGAATACCGAGCTCCATCAGAGACCCCTTGTTAGAGGCAAGCATCATTCTGAGCATGTACAGAGGATCTGCTCCATCAGTGATGTAAACTCCGTAGAGAGGAATCTGGCAACAAATGAGGTAAATCAAAAGACCTATGAAGGTCCAGATGAGCTTATCATTGAGTCCAATCTATACGTATAACTCCTTGAAACTTTACCTTTCTAATTGGCTCTTCAACATTTGGAAGGAAAGGCTGGAACGGCCTCATCAGATGAAGAACTTTAAATCCACTTGACATCTTTATTTTTAGATATTTATTATGAGATATACGATAAATTATTTTAACAGCTGTTTTCAGGACTGTCTTTGTGACCAGGGGTTTTGGGGTTTTGGGGTTTTGGGGTTTTGGGG